TTCTGGAATAACAACGTGTTCTGTTTTCTTCAATAATCTTGGCATTTCCCTCGAGGATTTGACTCTATTTTAGTTCTTTCCAACCCTATTTCTCTTTTTACTAAAATTACTATCTTTTTCTTATACTTTTTCTTTTTGTTCTTTAAAAACAAATTTCTCTTCAAAAATTTAATTTTTTTTTCTTCTTCTCTTTTTCTTTATGAATATATCATTTCTGATACTTTATTTACTTCACAATCCTCTATTGGTGGGATATTTTCTTCTCCTTTATTATTTTCTCCCTCTCCTTTTGTTACTTCCGTTTTTCTTTCATCCGTATATGCATATGGACTTCTTGGATCAACTACAAAAAACTCCATCACTCCATAATACCCTATTATAATACAAAAAAATCCCATAACAAATCCTGCTGGAATGACTAATGTCCAATATCTATTTGTGACTTTCTCTTTATTTCCTTCTTCTATTACAAACAAACTGATCAGGCATTAATGTAAAAAATGGTTCTAGTCCAAGTGAATATGCTAGTTTTCTTGGTACAATTTGCCAAATTATAAAGAGAATTGATGCAATAATCAATCCTAACCAAATAAAAAAACTATATGTTCCAATATATATTCCATCTTTTGTTGTTGATTTTCCTTGATAACATTGTTGTTCTTCTTCTGGATCAAGTCCATCATTTAATTCTGTTGGTGTTTTCCCTCGATTAATTTCTTCAATGTATGTTGCTTCTGTCATATTGCCTTTTTCATTTTCAATTCTTATTTTTTTCTGTTGAAATGTCAGTTTAACATTTTATTATTTATTTATTATTTATTTAAACTGACATAATCATATAATGGTGCAACATTTATTCTACCATGTGCACATATAAATGGACATGAACATTCTGACAATTGACTTATTAATTTTTTACATTCTTCTATTGTTAAATTGTCATTAAACATAATAGCATTTCTACATGATTGTGACGCTACAATATGACGTATAATTGAAAGATGTTTAATTCCTGGAAATTCATTATAAATATCTATTTGGTTTACAATATCCATAATTTCTGAGCAGGTAAGTTGTTTTCCAAAGATAATTGGAAATGAATTAAAATATACTTTATTATATTTGATGGAATAACTAATATTCAACTTGTTAAATTGATATTTATATTTTTGTAATACTTGTAATTGAGATGAATTTACATTTTTATGTAATGAACATTGAAATGATTGAAGACAAGTACTTGTTTCTTGTTCTAACATTCTCCAATTTTTTTCAAAAAGAATTCTTTCATGAACAGCATGTTGATCAAATCCATAGAGCAATCCATTTCTTTTATTTAAACAGATTATAAATTTCTTACCAAATTGTCCAATCACTTGAATCTTTTTTATGTCTTCTTTTGTAATCTTATTTGATGGTATTATATGACTAAAATACTTTATATTTTCTTGTAATGAAATAATATTATAATGTACATATGGTATAGCAATAGAATATATTGTCTTATTACTTATTCTTCTTTTAGAAGGTTTATGTTTATTCATTCCATATTTTGTTTGATTTATTTGTGGTATTTTAGTTGTTTCTTTCTCTTTTACTTCTCTTCCTTGAATTGAATAACTTAATGCAAAAACTCTTTGTTTCTTTGGTGATGGAGGGGATGATTTTGGATGTTGCAATTGAATATGTGAATAAAATGGGTATTGTGTAATTGGTGGAGGTAATACCAATAATTCTGATAAAAATTCATTTGAGAGGAATTTGATTATCCATAATAAGAAATTATTTTCATCTTCAAAATGTAATGGATATTGTGGATGAAAGAATGGAATTTTGATTTGAAGGAAAAAAGGAGGTGTTAAAATATGACTTTGTGAAATACCATAATATTTACAATGAATTTGATTGATTAATTGATTCAATGAATTATGATGTATTAAATAATCATTTACCATAATTATATAATGATATTTTGTATTATTCCATTTCATATCTTTTGATAAATAACGTAATCCATAAATTGTTATTGAGTTAAATGAATATAATGTTGAAAATTCTTTCATTTGATAATGAAAAATATTTTCATAACATTTTTTCATTGTTGCTTGTGAGTCTAACAAACAATATGTTTCATTATTCCACTTGATTTGTATTCTAATTTTATAATGAATAATCTGATATCCAATAATGTCTTGAATAAGTTGACTGAATGTTTCTTTTCTTTCAGGAGTATTTTCAAATAATTTTTCTAGATAAACAACTATTTGATTATTTAATTGGTACTGTTTCAAACTTTCTTTTTTCCATCTTCCATTCTTCATGATTAATCTCTTTTGAAAACTGTTGAAAAAACAAACTTCATAAATGTATCTAAACGAATATTCTTGAGATAAAAGAGATGTCATTATTGAGCATCTACTAATACTATTCAATTCATTAAAAATGTCTTCATTTAATAATGTATTTATTTGTTGTTCATCAACTTCAATTTCATCCATAATAATTTTTATTTCATTAATTTCTTTATCACACCAAATACTTACTGAACTATATCCTTTACTTTCCATTACTTTGAGAATTTCAACACAAACAAATCCTGTACGAATAAACTGAATAGAGGCTTTTAGAGCTTGAACTTCTCCAGCAGACTTTCTTTTCATTGCTTTGAACTTGAAAACTAATCATTAAAATAGTCAAAAAAATATAACGTGAAAAAACAGATTGAATCTTTCCTTTCATAAGTACTAATCATTCTTAATAAAATAAATTCAAATAAATATCACACCAAAAGTCAATTGAGTGTAAGTTTTATCTGTTAGATTTAGCAACACGTTCCA